AACGGAGTACAAGCAATATTGAAGTATTGTAGGTAGTTGAACACCACGTATCTTTGAATTTTACCGCGACTCCTAAGTTAAAAAATGAAATATTAAAATAAAATAAAAACATCGGTTTAGAGCAAAAACATTTATCATTGTTTTATAATTTTATTAAAATATGCATTATATTATAAGACATTTCGTTAACATTTTATCGATGATGTATTTTAACAATTGTTACACAAATTACAAAGAAATGCAGTAGTATATAATGGTACACACCTGAATTGAAGAATTGTAACGTATATAAGCATTACATTCTACAAAACTTATTAATTACCTACACACATGTCACATACATAATATTATCGTAAATCACAAACGGAGACGGAAATATCGCGTAAACTAATACGTTTGATGACCGACGATCACATTTGTCCTCTCATACGCGAATTATTGTACATTTCATATTTTACATACCGTATTATTACTATATTGGGCGAATCACCGATAACGACACTCTTTTTTTTATCTTCAATAATGCATCTATTCAAAAATCTGATTTTTGGAATTTATAAATATATTTTAAGAACATTATTATCAAAACCTTCATATTCTTTGTACTACTTTAGGAAACATTCTTGCGGAGATACAAACTATTGTATTTTAAATGACAACCTTTCTTATATACAGTATATTATCTAAGAGATAATTTTTCTGAACATTTTGACGTACCCATATTCAAAATTCTAATGAGTAGATTTTGAGTTATTTAACTGTATTAAGGATTATAGAACTGGAAGGTATGCGAGTCAAGGGCATGGTAATTTGAAAATATTAGTAGCTTATGTTAACCCATCAATATTTATAACTTATAAAAGTAATTCAAGTATATACTAGATCCGATATTACATCTCTTTTATAATTTTGTAAAACCATTTTTAAGGGCCATTATCCTTAGTGTAAACATTTCAATAACTCAGAAACAGCTCTTGTGAATTTTAAATTAGGTACATCACATCAAAAAAGGGCGGTTCTATAATTTGAAAAACAGAAGTTTGTATTGTCACAGGATATTCCTTAAGTAGTACAAAAATCTCAAGATTCTGACAATACCGTGGTCTCTATTAAATATTACATTAAAAAATCCCTAAAATCTTAGTTTGAATAAATTCATTATAAATTAAAATGGAGGTGAGCTTGCTCGGTGAATCGTCCTGTATAATAAAAATAAAAGATAAAAATAAAGATAATATTATTTTCAGTTATCTCACTAAATAATTGAATTTAACAATATCCTATTATATAGAAATAAAGATAATATTATTTCTTAGGTACTAAAATATCAAGGTACATATAATAATAAATATATTTTTTCTAGAATCAAGTACACAGATTATTACAAGATATCATACAATATGTAGATAGTCCGGTATAGTAGCATATTAGGTATGACGTTTATTATTTCGAAACTTTTAATTTTTATGATGATATTTTCAATTAACGGCCGATTTAGCTAAATTGTCCTACCCATGAATATACTATAATATCTGAACTCCCATATTATCGGAACGTCAATCTAAAAGGATATTATCATCGCATAATGTTATGGAATCGGTTCGGAATTTTATTTGATTTTCTGTAGTTTGTGAGTGACTTTATGGAAGGACATTCGTTTCGAGCGTGTACGATTACGAAACGTCCATAACATTAATATAACTATATAAGTATACACAATAGTTTACTGAGAGCTGCGGCACGGACAAAAACAAAATAGGCACTGATTTCGACGGAAATAACGAACACCTAACGATCTTATTCCGTCAGAGTTAATCACTTAGGCAACTTTATAATATACAATACACGGTAGTTACTCAATTATTAATATTTATACCGCGTTTATCCTGTACTTTTCATGATCGGTGTAGGCCGCACCCGTCGTCAATAAATATTAAACAGAACGATTCGAATAATTGAAACCCCCATACACGATTTAATGAACCTAATCAAACTGACATAATACACAATATCGTTCAAACTTTCAAACGATTTTTTTCCTAGACTTATGCTTCCGGAGCGGCATACTTTGTGCATAATATGGCACTGCGGCGTGGGTGTGAATTTATACACTTAATTTGTTGTTTTTATTTATTAAATTCGAGTGGTCGAAAAATTATTAATTGCGTGCCGTAATTATGTGTTTGCGGGTACAAGCGTTTTGTCATCGTATATTATATAATAGACACTGTTTACAACGGAGTATTATTATATTGTCCGAGGACGTGGTAGGTACACAATAATTGTGGATTTGGTATTTGCACGCGGAGATTGCCAAATTCGTAATTTATTAATTCTTAAAAAGGAAAACACTGTCGAGCACGATGAATAGGAATACAATCGACGAGAAAAAAAACGACCGTTTAAGTTTCGATTTCGTGCAGTTGAGCTACAGAAGTATTATTATTATACATAGTGTATAATACCTATAGAATTATCTTACAACTATTATAATATGTATAGTACAATGTACATTTGAACTTGGATTTTGAACGATAACAATTTTTCGTATAGTGAAATCTATTTTTTGTTTAGCAATTCGCGTTTGAAAATCGTGTTAAACCGTAATATAAATACGCTAGAGAATATTACCAGAAAATACTCAACGGCTCGATGAGATTGGTGGAAGGGTGGTAGCATTCGATGTGATCTTATATTATATAGTAAAATGAGTTTATTCAGAGTGATTGAATCAAAACGACCACGAAGGACATTTTTACAGGTATCTATCAATAATAAAAGTAAAATCAATAGAAAGGGATGAGCTTCATTTAATTTCCTGGCCATATGACGCCGCAGTGCGCACTATGGAGTTATAAAATATTTAATATTATATTGCAAACAGTGACGCGGTACGCTTTACATACGCCGTATTATTATGTGGTAGTTTTATTCGGACAGACGACAGTGCATTTATAATTATTTAAAATAATTATTCAATTGTATGTAGTGTTACCCAAAAAAATATATGTAATATTATTCCATGGGTAAAGTGAATTGGCTGATCGGACTATGAACACATTGTTATAAATATCTCGCATTTTACAACAAACAATCAAATCGACGACAAATCACTCGCGTATTAGTTCAAAATTTCAAATAATAATTATCAGCTACGGATGGAATCGCATTATTTTTCCAGTCTCCGTGAAATTTTACAATATATGCATACACAATATACATTTATGAGTCATCAAGGTATATTAAGATGATTAATAATAATAATAATAATAATAATAATAAAAAAATCAACATTTTTGTACACAATTAGTATAAAAAACGAAACGTTTTCGGTATAATCGCATTTTAACAAACAAACAGGTGTAAACGTATTAAATGTTTTTACATCTACAGAATTTCAATATATTTGTTTTAGAAAACTTATTATTAAACGTGACTAAATATTATGAGCATACCTATATAAGTCATATACTTCGCTGCAGCAACGAGTATAACGTATTTATCATTCAAAATTAATTAAGTATAGGTATAATATTATAAACTAATGGTTATACTGTACACACCTTGACGACGGTTCTATTTTTATACATTGCATTGTACTACATAGTACCTTCAAAACGTCTCTCTCGTTTGTTTTCGGCGAGTAAGTAAAAACATAGGAGAGAAAAAATGTGAGTGTGAATTCAGTTAGAGAGAGAGAGAGAGAGAGAGAGAGAGAGAAAAGAAAAAACTCCAGCACGTTTGCACTTTGCACGATCGATATATCTTATTTAGGACCAATAAATCTGAACAATTTTCCAGGAAAAATCGAACGTAATAGAATAGGTTAAATTTTTACTAATATCATTAATAGTTTTTTTTATAAATTATTATAAACGATAATTAATGCGGTAGATAGCATTTCGAATTGCAAATGATAATGAATATATAATAAATATAGGCTCAATGCGAAATTGAGCAAAACCGATTTATATATAAATGTACCTATCTATATCACAAGGGCGTTTGCGTTACTGGCTAAACATCACGAAAAAAAAAATCATAAATAATAATAAAATAGTGTACCTACCTATACAATATACATGGCTGTATTATATATTAAAATTACTAATAAATAATAATAAAAAATCACACTGTCCACTCTCGCTCTCCACACAGATATCGCTCTGCACTATATAATGTTCATGTGTATGTATTTGTGTCTGTATGTGTTTTTATATGTATGTATGTATGTATGTACGTAAGTATGTATGTATGTATGTACGTATGTATGTATGTATGTATGTATGTATGTATGTATGTATGTATGTATGTATGTATGTATGTAAGTATGTATGTATACATGTATGGTATGTATGTGTGTGCCTGTGTTATTTCCTCGCATATCAATTTCGTATTAATTTATCATATCGGATTACTTAATAATGTATATTATATATATATACATACATATATATATAATTAAACACAGCCATTGTTCCGGAATCTCGCCTATATAATTTGTCCAATGCGGCAAGAGTATATACATATCATATACATATACACCCCGAGTACGCCTGAACCTGCACCCTTAACACCATTATTATCCTAGAATAATACAATATATTATATATTATAATATACCTATATATAAAACAATGCGCCTAAAATAATAGATGTACTTATATTTATAAGTACAGTGTCAAATGAATAAATAATAATAACGATGAAAAAAAAAGATTTTGAAAAAAATTACACAGACGTGACTATATAATCATAATAATAATAATAATAATAATATTACATATACTCGGTTACAGCTACAATAATGATAATAATGTTTCTAACGCGCTAATCGGATGAATAAAAGTAACATGAAAACGCTTAACGAACAACAAACAACATTTAAAATGACTAAATTTATTTATTATTCTATTTTTATTATATATGTATAAAAAAAGCTTAAGTATATTATATTTTTTAAATTTTTATGTTTGGAAATTTTTAAAAATTGTTTAATACATTTTCTTTTTATATATATATTTTTTTCCTTTCATCGAATTGTACAGAATGAATACACGTTTATACGTCGTTAAAATAATAGTTAATAAAAAAAAAAAACGGAGGTACTGATGGAAAACATACAAACTTAATAAAAATTTAAAAAAGAAATAATAATAAGTTATTAAGGTTAAGTATAAATAAAAATATATAAAGAGGTGAGTTAATTAACAAAAAAAATTGGCTATTTTGTACTTTTGTTACAAGTATTTGTGAAATATCGTACTGTTTTACATATATCATTACATTATATAAACATGAGGTAGAGCTGTAAAAAAGCTTAATAATTAAACATTTTACGAAAAAATTGTACTATTACAGTTACGAGTTTTGACTATTACAATTAATATATTTATTTGTATTTATCAATTAATTATGTATACGCGGTGTGTTTGAGATTTGTGAGTTATGCGTTTTAATACTGTTTTTGAGCAATATTTATCTTCTTAGCACAATTGTACAATATATAATATATCCTATGCTTACATATTATGTCATGTTATCTCTGGCTCTGGTCCGGCCACCCAAATCTCAGTCTATTTATTATTCGTATCATACTATCATAAATGCACATCACTGACAATAATAGTAAAATAGTAATAATTATTATAAGTCATAACATCATAACATTTCATATTATGATGTTTCGAATAGTACAAAACGTTCTAACACTCTACAATACCTTTATAATAATACATGCATACAAATATGTTTGTATTATTATACTTAATACATCATAATATTACACATTTATTCACTATTACAATTCACTATTACAATTCATAAACTTACACCTACACAATACCATTATTATCACCCGTTTCCTCGTCTCTGCTTATAATTAATGATAACACCTATATATCAGGTCATAACCAGCACTCGCGACGTAACAATATGGGTAACAAATTGCTATTTATGTTATCACAATCGCAGTCAAGTATATTAATACTTTATTATCTTTTATTATAATATTACCTATTTTTGTTTATTTTTTTTAAATGGTTCGACGTTTTAAATACATATCATTTCCCTAACCGTTTCTATCACAGATACAATCACATGACATTTCCTTGACAATTTCTCAAGATAAATATATGCTTATTACGAGAGACAAAAAAATTACAAATACATATAAGCCCTATTGAATAAATCCTAATCTATATAATATGTTTCCGTTAAAATAAAAATGTCGAATTATCGAGTTCTATAGCACATCACTCCGGGACGTGCGGCGACAAGAGTGCGAAACACTCGACTCCGTGACGCCCCCAATAACTGTCGCAATGTAATTTTACATTTATCACATACAAGTTTATAGAAAAAAAAAAATTACAATAAAATAAAAATAAAATAAAAATTATCACATCAAAAATCGCGAACGAATATAACCGACCGTGAATATGCGAGTAAACGTATTTATAGATATACATACAAAGTAACAAAAATTAAAACAATATAAATATGTCAAATATTTTAAAGAGAAAAGCACGACGATTTACGAAATAAAAAACAAACCGTACGTCTGATCACATAAACAAAAACAATTTTGATTTTTTTTTCAAAGGAAATATAAACGTTAATTTATATGACTAGAGAATAATAATTATACTTATATAATTTAGAGTTCTTTTTTGTTGTTGCTATCTTTCGTGTGTACAATTGAGTTGGATTCGACATACGTAGTGTATATATATATTTATATATTTTGTATTATTATTATAATAATTTGTTTTAATAAAATGTTATTATAATATTTATAGGCCGCTGTCGTTCTTCGACGTTCGATTTCTCTTCCATACGACGACAATGGTTCAAAAGGGATGGAACAAATATAATCGCGAAAATTACACGTCAGCTATACGTTATCGGTCGATTTCAATCGTTTCGAATTAAAAAAAATCTATCATAATAAAAGTCACCAAACATATTTATTATTATGGCGGTGGTAGGTATAAAATTACGTTAAAAAAATTGAGCTTTTCTCCGAGCGGCGCTCAGAAACCGAATCGACCGACGTCGACGACACAATAACTGTCGGGCGTATAACATAACATCGTTATAGATAGAAAATAATAATTTTTAAAAAATTAAAATTACAAACAGACCACCGGAAATGAACAACGTGAAAATGAAAATGAAAATGAAAAGACATATCTGCAAAAGAGGAAATCCGTTTTGAACCATGGCGCCGGGGCACGCGTCGTATTTTTCTAGATCGAGTATAATTAGTATAATAATAATAATAATAATAATAATAATAATAATAAAAATTTTAATAATAATAATAATAATAATTATAATTATAATATTAATAATAATAACGACAACGACGACAACAACAACAACAACACACATGTATTATAATACACGACGATAGTATTTGCTATAATGCTATAATAGTTGGCGTTCAGCGCTGATGGTTGTTGTGTATGTGCGTGGTCAGGTGTTTGGACAGGTAGTCGGCCCTGGCGAAACACTTACCACACATCTCGCAGTGGTACGGCCTCTCGCCAGTGTGGATGCGCAGGTGCCGGGTCAGATCGCTCTTGCCGCCGAACGCACGGCCGCAGAACAAGCACGCGAACGGCCGTTCACCCGTGTGCTTGCGCACGTGTAGCTTTAGGTTTTCCTTTGACCGGACGCACTTGCCGCAGAACGGGCAAGCGAACGATTTGGCGTCTCGATTGTTGTTGTTGTTGTTGTTGTTGTTGTTGTTGTTGATGCCACTACCGTTGTTGTTAATGCCACTGCCGTTGCTGTTGTTGTTGGCGGTGGCCGCCGTCGTCACAGCTACGGTCGCGGACGCCGCGGCGACAGCGGCCACTGGAGTGGACCTAGCTACCACGGAGGCGGCGGCTGTGCGTTGAGCGTTCGATCGTAGCATGTTGAACAGTGACGACGGTGAAGTGGCGGCCGCGTCACCGGCCACCTTTTGCTGTCCGGCCGCCGGCGGTTGAGCCGACGTCACCACGGACACCACTTCGTTCGTGCTGGTCACCTGGCTGTCGGACGCCGACGACTTGGCGGTGGTTGGTGTCGCCGGTACGTCTCGGCTATCGTCGCTGTGTACCGCTGTCACCGCCGCGGGCACGTCCCGCTGTAACCTTTCCAGCGCGTGGTTGAGACGGTGCTTTTTGAACGACTTGAGGTACCTGCGAAAAACACACACAACATATACGCACACTTACGACACTAATGACTCTAATGTAGGTGCCTACTCATTACATTTATTGTAATGTATGATTGTTTTTAATTTTCCTCATGAATCAATAATATTGTATTTATCCATATTATCTATTTTTTAATAAATTTGACAAAATCGCGGGTTTGCCCATCTACGGTAACACCAGAAAATGCGTTGTTGTGTGTTGGAAAAATAATTGAACGTACGGGAGCCGAGTGAGACGTATTCATCACGTATATACTTATTTTGTCTATATTATAAAAATCTTTGTTGTAACACTCGAGTTTCTTAACACCCATTCCCTATTCAGTATTCAGGCAATCACTAGACTCGTCCAATAATTATATATAATGTTTTACTTGGGATCTGGAATTTCTTGGTCAAAAATATTTGTATATTATCTGTCTCTAAATGATTTCTTTCAAAGTTTTTAATCCTATAGGTACTGTTTACTTGGCTTAGAATATAATCTATATATACGTATAGTAGTATCTATGTGGTTAATATTCGAACCATCATCACTTGTAAAAATTATGAGAGCCGATCGATCAATTCGTAAAATAAAACAGTTATACCCCCGTGATTGAAAAACTATAAGAAAAATGTCGGGGTATAAAACCATAATAAGAGTATAACTATAAATGTCATGTTAGCCTATTGCAATATGATGCTCATGTCGAGACTTCAAAAGAAGATTGAACGGTTAAAAACGGTTTTTATTCCGATCACTAACTGTGATCGATAACAAATGACTGGACATGGGCCATCTGATATTCTACACCAACACCAATATCGTTGCAAATCTATTCAATATAGTGGTCAATCCTGCGTTCATGGTTACCGTAAACCGATAGAATTACATTAGAAAATAAAATGTGCATTATGATTGGCTACATTTAGTAGGCAATTAAATCGTAATAACCGTATTTATACGTATATAATGCCACCCTTAATGCATTTTGTATTGTTAACATTATTATAGTGATTTAAAAAAATTGTGCTATTCTAAATCAATCTGATAAAAAAAATTTCAACAATAATAATATTATATGATTACTAGTATAATTAATATAACCGCATACAGGTTTATGGGTATAGGTCTTTGTGGTATATATAGGTATGGGTAGAAGAAGTAAAATTTCTTGGCTAAATAACTTGACAAAAACTTATTTCAATTCCTAAATAACATTTCCCTTTAAAATAATATTAAATAGTAAAGTATTTGATATTTTATGTCTCTATAGAATTTAACCTCTTGTACACATTCAAAAACTTTCAAAAGTATCATAATATTAAAAATACATCAGTTATTGTATATTTTATATAATGATTATATAAAAATTGATGTGTAGGAGTATTTATAAGCAAATGAAAACAAAAACTGGAATCATAAAATTAATTTAGCATAATATTGATGAACATTATTATACTGTTTTAAAGAATATTTTAATTTGTTTTCGTCAAAGTTTAAGCTACTATTTAACTTTTAAATATGGAGTGATTTTATGACTCATTTGTATTTTGTTTTGTTATAGGTACATATCCTTAAACATCTGCAGGTGGGTTTTATAGTTAGAGTATGAACAAACGTTCTTAAAAAGAAATACTGAAAAGCCACTGTTCTGAACAGTTGTTGCAGCAGAGTGTGAATATGGAAATTACGATGAAAATAAAAAGGGCGACGAGGCGTAATATATTGGCTGGCGAGTCCCAAAAGAGTTAATCCTGCGTTGCGGATAACATACTTCTGCAAGATAAAATGAAATCACTTAAAAAATATAATCCGAATAATAATAATAAAGTAATAAACCGTATGTACCTATACGAGGGAAAGCTAACGGAAAGAAATACATCCAATGGGATTCACCGATATATTTTTACGGTACCCAAAACAAATTATTATTATTATTATTTATTATTAAAATAGGTACAACCGGACCGGTTTATGGCGCTGAAAATCGGTCGTCGCGAAACAGGTTGTTGCAAAAACTGGTTCGCTCAAACCATCGAACAACGGTGCCACACTTTTGCGCGCGAAATTCCGGTTCAACGTCCAACCAACCCCTGCCACGTGCACGGGAATAAAAAACGCATAAAAACCTTCAACGACAACTCACCTGAACTGCATGCCGCATATGTCACACGTGAACAGCTTGTCGGCCGGCAATCGGGCCCTGTGGTTTTGTTCGCGGTGCTTGAGATAGGCTGAACGGTAACGGTAACTCTGGCCGCACTGGTCGCACTGGAACGGTTTCTCATCACCGCCGTCGCCGCCGTGGCCGCGCACCGGCTGTCCGGTATGCTGCAGGGCCGTGTGCTGTTCTAGGAGCCACGTGGACGGGAAACCCGCCAGGCAAATGGCGCACCGGATCAGGCATCGGCTGGCCACCTCGTCGCTCGAGCTCACACATGGCCCGATCAGTCCTTGTTGTTGGAGCACCGAGTACAGCGACACGGACGTTTCTGCACATAAAAATCATGCACATATACAATATACATACGCGCATGTGACATTGTTATAAGCGTTGCTGAAACCAACGATTGTTGCCTGATTTATTTAACTCTCACCAACACATTATCCAAGTCCATTTTTGTGGTTTTTTGAAAGAAAAAAAACGTTTTTGCACAATGTTGTGGTTTGATGGTACCTTTTTAAAACACCATAGGTACTTGACAATTTTTTTTAAATCTCTAATTTTTACCATTTTTATTACGATTTTTTTAACGAACAAAATTATAGCCCGAAGCAAAATACTTTTCTAGAAATGTATTACTTATATTGAATGGGGAGTTATTTTTACTTTAAGCATTTAAAGCCGAGTGATAAGTTTTTAGATGAGCCGAGTGATAACTTGTAGGGCTCTATAACCTATGTAACCTAACCTAACCTATGACTTGTCAGAGGTTTTTATCCCTTGTTATTGAACTCTGCTCATATTAAAATATTATCTATTTTAAATAGAAAATTTACTATTGTATATTGGTTAAATATTCAAAATCAGAAACATTTTATGTAACCGATTACGAAATAAAATAAAAATAAAAATGTTCTAAAGTACAAACCATATCTTAAAATGCAGTGTCATAGTGCTGTAATATCTTAAACCTTTTTTTTTAACATTTTAAAAATAGACGGGAAATTACTATATCAAGTTAAATAAATCACTCCGTATACATTATATCTATACATATAGAATAGATGAGAGATTATATAATTATTTAATTCACGGGGGTTGAGCAATGAGCGCTCATATATGCATCAGAGAGCACTGAGCTATATTAATGATTTCAGATTTCAAAGACGGCGATTAATTTTTTAATATGCAAGACTATTATGAATTATGAGTAAGTTAACGATCTATATAAATTTTAAGGAAAAAATAGTTTAGGTAAGGACTGTTACGTATATTTTACATAAGTTCTTAACTTTTATTTAGCAGGTGTCCTTATTTAGTAGTTTTCATATTCTGAAGCAGATTGTTTATTTGAGAATGTTGACTTAAAAATGTCAAGTATTTTTTGAATCTATAGTCTCTAATTATTTATAACAATTTGTATTTGGTAAGGTACTATCTGTTTATATATTTTTCTTTATTTTGCGAATAACGATAGAATTAGGTTGGGAGTGAATAGATTTATATGTTGTACCTAGTCAGTATAGGTGTATACGTGACTTGGTGCACGTAATATAATATTGTATAATATAGTACGTAGATACTGCAGTGATAATGTTAAAAATAAAAAAATCTGTTTTGATTTTATATTTGATTTAAACGTATAACCTAAACGACAATCTGCAATTACAAGAAAAATGTTTATCCAAAATATAATTCGTAATGTTTGATGAATGCGTCTATTATTTGAGCCTAATGGTGAGCGTTTTATCCAAATCAGATAGCTTACGCCCATCAAGCCAAATTCCATGTATATAGATGCAGTCTGCGCAGATACTATGTCATATAAAATCTTAATTTACGTCCTATATATGAAATGGTTAGATTAGATGGTCGGTGGAAGGTTATAACTTACCGTTTTTATCATATAAAATAATTCTTATTAGTTCGAATTCTCATAAGTCTTTATATTGAAAATATAGTATCATTATTCATTATTATAGGTATCTATTTTAATAATTATTGTTATAAATATTGTTTTAAGTATAATATAATGAAATATCAAAATATATACCTGAGTTGATTATTTTTATTAAATTTAATCAATCCTAAAAATAAAATTATCATATTCAATAACAATAAAATATTTGATACAATTTTCCAATTTTTTTAAATTTTGCCTAAAAATGCATATATGTACTTGAATAGTTTTATTATAAATGTAATTTTGCTAAGACAGTTAAACGTTCAACATTAAAAAATATTTCATAAAATTATTGGTGCTTAGTTAAATAACTAAGCATAAGGTTGCCTAATGATCAATGAATATATTTAATTATCTGAATAGCTATATTATGTAGCATTCAACATTTAAAAATAGAGAAAAAAATGTAAATAATATAATACACTTTCATTATTTCAATTTAATTTAATGATTGTTAAACACTTTACTTTAATTATAATTTAATTTTAAATAATTTCTTATTGTGCCTAAATTCTCTGCCCTATTACTCCTGACTGAGGACGATCCCTCATAATAAGAAGAGTGGTGTAAAAGAGGCGATAAGTATACTCTGCTAGTTTTTATTCTACTACTTTGCAAGCAAAAAATGGAAATTCTTATAAATAATGGATTATTGGCTCAATGTTTTCTATTACTATATTTACTATATTTTATGCAGTGACATTTTCAAAACTAAAATAAATATTCTGCCAAAATATGAAATTAAAAATATGGGTCACCGTAAAAAATATTTAAAAATGTCTTTAATAAAAATGGTAATAAGCATTTAAAAATTGCATTCTTTTTATTATTACTGGTTTTTTTTATGAACATTACACTATTAAAGTTTTAAACTAAGGTCGGTTCAATGTTTGAGTTTTCAAATGAGACAATATTCATCATTGCTTTGTATAATAATAACTAAGTATTAAATAAATATTACTTCACACTATTCCGCACCAATTTAAGCACCCTCCACAAGTTGCGTAACAAGTGTCGGGACAGTGATTTTTTTTTTATTTATACATATTCGTTGGAACTGTGTTCGTTAGTAGGGTGATTATATTGTTATAACTCAAAACACACACAGCAAGTGTATTGTTGAAAATGCGTCTGCTATTGTTTTCTGTCGCGTATTTTTCTCCTGTACGCCAGTTATGTAATAATTTTCATGGTTTGCTAGTTAAGAAATCAAGAGTGTAAGTCATAGGCAAAGAGAAAATCGTTTTCAAAGATTGTGCACCCGAATACACCCACGTATACATAATAGGTATATATATACTTAAGTCATCGAAACTCCAAATGTTACATAACGATATTATATTTTATATACAGCAGAATTTTATTGTCCGCCTCTCCATCGTGGAGCTATATAACTTGTGTGTGTGCGTGTGTGTGTGTTTCTAGTTACCTACTAGTCAGCAATTTTGTGTTATTAGGTAGGTATACGTAGTGTTATTTTTCATTTCCGTATAAAATCAAATTATACATCCAACTGATCATAACATTATATAATATTATTATCTGTATCTGTATGTCTGTGTGTCTGTGTGTCTGTAATATGTAATCGATAAAATACCACATCGATGGCTTAGAAATGTCCCGTGTGGCCGTGTATTGAGGGGAATGGCTTTTATCGATTTTATTTTATATATAAATTTAAAAAGTCTAAACACGGCAAGTATAACTTATATATTAAAGACGCTGAACACAAGATAGGGATTTGAATATTTGTCAAAGTCTATCTGATCAGACTGCATGGATACATAAAAAATATATGTAGGTATATAGGTGTACGTAGTAATGTAGGTTTACGCACAAGAGACGATGAGCTACTATACTTCCGACTCAATTCGTTCGACGCGTCTCTGAATGATACGAACATTTATCTGGAAACACTAATTTCAAATACGCGCCAGTGCGCCGCACGCGAATATTTAACGTACCTATACGCCTATAACTTACCCATAACAACTGTTATCTGAAATTTGAAATTTGAATATATGTGTACCATTTGCTCTGCATAGTCGGTGGCCTAGATTACCTTAACTATATCTATTGCATATATTAGAAGTTTAACTACACCTACTAAAATGTCGATTTGGGTTTCAAACATATTTTGCATTATCCGTAAAGCTGTAAAAATTGTATAAAATACACTGCAGGCATAATATATGTCGTGTATTTTTAGTTTTTAGTTTTTTTTCTATTTAAAACGTGACATTGAAGTAGAACATTTTATAGTAAAATATAATAGAGAAGCATATCATTTTAATGGATTAAAAATAACTACCATTACAATAGTAACATGTCGAGAATTGTACTGCGCACTTATGCGCGTTATAACTTATAACAGTATTGATGTGTTATACTAGATATGAATTTATTAATATATTATATATTATTATGCATACCGTTCAAATAGGTACTTAATATAATAATGCAACAGCGGTCAGCGATTAAACTCGATGACCGTTTAGGTTTAGAGTATTTCCCCTTGTAGGGTTATTATTATTATTTTTACCTGTATTGTAAACGGGTGGCAGAGTCGAGAACCGACTGAAAGCGGAAAATCCTTGTTGTAGAACGGAAACTTGCGACCTGTATGCGGCCAACGTGTTGAACACCCCTTCCACCAAGCAAACTTCCTATTTCACACATAATACACACACAAATCAATCAATGTTAACGTAAAACGACCTGCGTATAATGGACGTAATATTGGCCAGTTATCCAGAAACGATATTATAACATAGGTAGTGGAAGCATTTTATTAAACTTAAATGTATTATATTTGAGATATATTTATAATCAGACGCCTCTTGCAAGTTGATAGTAGTAGTATGATACTATTAATGAGTATAAAATATACAGAGTATCCGTACAGTACCTATGTATGATTAAGATGTATACATATTCAATGTATGTTTTAATAATTAATAAATATACTATCTATAATATATAAAAGTGTGTGTATGTTGAGTAAGGATGGGAAAAAATAAATACTCGGTTATTTTTCGTACATTAGCAATTTTTTTTATATGTTTATTGCACTGACAGAAAAAAAAACTATAATAAAATACACAAAAAGCTAATCTTATAATGTTTTTAGCACCTAATAATATAAATAATCGATGTTCTCACTTGTCTCGTTATCACATTTACTAAAAATTATTTCTTATACTCTACTCGGGGCTCACATCATTATCATCATCGTACGTTATTGAAAAATAAATCTTCATTACATAATACAAATACTGCCTAATTGTATGCATTAACGATTTACATTGGGTCATAACGTTAATAATTGGGTAACATTATAAGAAACATTATGGTTGTGCCGTAAGATAAAAAAAAATAGTGTGCACAAGTGCTTCTGAAAATGATAAATGATTTTGGTGACAAATATAAATGCTTAAACGTATTAAAAGATCTTTCGAAAATTAAAAAACTTAATCGATTTAACAACAAAAAGACACTTAATAAACTCGGGAGATTTTTAAAGACTCTCTTTCGTGTTTGTAAACTTCGTAATTTTTTAAGTACTACATGTCTTTAGATTTTACCCGCAACATATAAAACTATAATATTTATATATTATGCTATTTTAAAGTTAAATTGCAGACTTTTGTCGCGCATTATACCTAAAAAGTATATACGAGTTGAGCATTACATGACTTGGTTATCGTTATTGAATGTTTTTCCTTTACTAAGGAATTCTGAGCTTATATTTCTGTGTTTAGATACTAACTTTATAAAATGTAGTGATAAGAGATAGAGCGCTGTTTGGTTAGGAGAGCGTAATGACGAAGATTACAAAGCATCAAGAGGACGTCTTTCAAATCCCCTGTTTACATATTTTATAACAAATCTTTTAAATACCATACAATATGTAGCCTATCACAGTCGGAACACCTTAATCCTAACCCACGGCAATCGCAGACGACCATGGCCTAACCTAAAATTAAGCCCATATAATGGCCATATATATATCGTTTAAAAATACCACTGCTCAGTTCGAGTTCAGGTCATATGTTACGTTCGTTTTGGTCCATCAACAAACTGAATAGAATTAAATCATGAAACATAAATGTTTGAGATAATTTCCTCACATAGTGACATTTGTATTTTGTACCATAACAATAAATTGAGACTTGCCATTGAAATTGTATAATATTTCTTTTTAGTAACTTCACTGTTAACTAAATATTATGAAATTAAATTATATGAGACGGATTTGATACATCCTTATTGACAAGTTTATCGTAAATTTTAAAGAAAAATATTTTAATCATATAAAATAAGTTAGTTGGTATTGTTATGTACAAATAACTGTAATGTAATAAAACACTAAACATAAACCTAATTCCTAATCATTTGAATTATGGTGTAGGTACCTATATTATATTATTCGTTTTTATTAATATCATTATTTAAAAACATATAACTATTATTTGACACTACACTTTCTGAACAAATTAATACATTCCACGACTAAGTACAGTACAAATAATATCTTTAAAAAGAATTAATCTTATTCAATAACATAATACAATATATTATTCTAATCAACTATCGAAAAAATATCACATTCTTGTTCCTTCACATCTCGCTATTTTCATTCTGGTATAGAATTCGACATTACGTACATTTTTGTTAATCTACTTTATAATTTTAATTATATATAATAATAATTTTATGAAAATGAGAAAATTTGATCACACGTGTTATATAGATTTTAACAAACAAATAATAAATAAAAGCTTAAATTACTTAATATATTATATCTTGCAATTGAGTGCCAATAATTAACAATAAACGGTGACATGACTGGTAAAACGTACATAATTTATTATAATATAATATAGTGAATATTTTTCGAAAATATAATGTTTGAACCTTACACAAGCTCTTATGAGCACACGTGTCTTCTGAAAAGTATGTAAATATTTATGAGGTTAATATTTGCGGTGCGCTTAAATTATGAATATGATGAGTTTATAACGATGAACTGGATTTTTATAATATTCTGAGCATCATTTAAATGTTTAAAATATGACCAAACGAATCAAAATAAATTCGACGAAAAACAATTTTAAAAATTGAACATTAATCCGAGAATCATATCAAAATTTAGTTTATAATTTTATATTTATTGAATACGTATAATTAAATACTCGGTATAGTAACTAAAAAAACTAAATGAGGGCAAAGTTTTTTGGTTGGTTAACTAAAAAATAAAATAAACAATAACAATGTTTTTAACGTCATATTTTATCATCATTAGTGGGACTACCTAGTAATATTATTATAAAACAGATTCGAAGTTGTAACGTCAGTCAGTACTTTTGAATGTACATTAAAAAGCTGCACTGGTCCATGTTAACGCCTACTTCTGTTATTAAAATTAGATATTGTTTAATTATTTATATAAATATATATAAATTATATTATATACATGCATATCACAGAAAATTAAATCTACTGACTTATGAATAGGCGCTAGAGCGTTATAATAATGATGAGCGAAATTAAGTATGTTAAAAAATGTACTCTGGATTTTTAAACCCTTAACCAATTATACACACCGTTAATTGTTACTAATGTTAGAAGTACTCAAGGGGTCCATCTGAATGTAAAGTTTTCAAAAGTAATTAGCTTGAACGCAAAAAAAGGAATTTTTTTTCGAGAGGAGTATTAAAATAATTACAATTTACGGATGAATAAAATGTTGTCCTCGTGTCGGCAGAATAATAAATGATGCGTCCAACTCTTTTAAACTTCTGCAATTCTGTGTGAAAAGAGAACATCTGGTTTGTGTTTGAAAACGTTTCAATACAAATCAAATGTATTTTAAAAACGGCGATTATTGTTTGTTATTGTTAATTTTTAATTGAGAACTTTACAGCGATCTGGCATTTCTCATGGCATTGAAGGAGGGCGGGAAGTACAAGTTATATGTATCATAACATACGTACAAATTTAGCCGTCCGTTCGGAATCTAGCAACAACGTTCACGGGCTGTTTAATTTTGTTGCTAAACGTAGTAAAAATAAGAATATTCAAGGCATTAATTAGCCTGACGTACCGAAAAGATAATGCGTATTTGTCGTACTTTATGTTTGAAAAAGTCGATAATAAATCGAATCTAGTGTCAATGGCCCTGGAGGAAAATCCACCAATATGCATACCTAATTACGACGGATGCTGCGCAAAAAAAATCATAGATAATTGTTATTATAAGCAATTTATTCATCCATGTGTAATATGCGTAATCCGATTTCAGTAAAAGTGCAGTGCCCTATAGGTGTGAAGGCATTCGAGCCAATAATTTTACTGCGTATTATATTTATATTTCATCAGTTTTGAACAGTGCGCATATCGTGTTACTATTATAGTTTTTATCACCTATATCCTCTCGACGATTTGTTGACCGAGGCCAATTTTGCCGCTTCGTGTACCGTCCACAGAACTCAAGCCGACAAGGGCACCGCTATATAATTTGAGGCATGCATGAATGACGGCGCGGCGCGTGCAGGTATTGATTCTAACCTAAAATATTTGAACAGTTTTCGCGTACGATCCTAACCTTCGGCAATGGGGTGAGTGGGGTGAACTATTGGGTGGGGAAGGTGAAGCCGTTAAACGTTCCGGCGATCGTTTTTGTTTTTCGTCACGCAACAAAGCGTGTAAAAAAACAAACGACGAAATGCATCGAGCGTATACGACATAAATACATACGCATAAATAGGAACCATCATGGACGAAGACGAAATCACGTCCACCAGTCATTTCAAGATTTAATTTAGACGGTATTTTTGAAATTTGGGTAGTTTTTTTTTTCGCGTTCAAAAGAATTACCTACGAAAACCATCAATCGTCGTGGTGGTGTGTGTTTTTCGGTTTATCGGATATAGCGAATAATACAATGTTATAATAATTTAATAACTATATAATAATAATAATAATAATAATAATAATAATAATATATGACGGATATTACAATGTAACAAAATATATAGTAGTATATCGTATATGACTGAGCGCGTAGAGAACGGTCCCGGTGGTGCGACCCTATTTCCACTACACTCTATAAGGAAACAATCGTCGTCATGGTGGCGTGGGTGGAGGCGGTGGTGGGGCTGGCGGTGACCCACTGCCGTGCCTGTGGTGATGATGATGCTGGATAACGGTCAAGTCGAATGGTCTGACGGCGGCGGACGCGATCGTCGCAACCGCCTGCGCCATTCCGCCTCCGAAATTCCCCAACCCACCACCTACTAACATCCCTCCTCCTCCACCTCCTCCTCCAGGTTCTTCTTCAGGACTGGGCGAGGACACGAACCGGTGGCGTCCCGTGAACTTTGGATAGTGCGTCTTCTCGTGCGCTTTAAGTATTGTCGACCGGCTGAACGTCTTGCCGCAAAGAGCGCATCGGAACGGCCGTTCGCCGGTATGCACTCGACAGTGGTCCTTCATGTGGTGCCGAAGCTTGAACGCTTTGCCGCAGAACTCACACTTGAACGGCCGGTCACCGGTGTGGGCGGGGAGGTGGCCGACTAGTGTGGCCACGTCCGGGAACGTCTTGCCGCAAAACTTGCAAAGCGTTCCGCCCACGCCGTCGTCCATCGCGGCCGTACCCGCAATGCCGCACGCTTGCTGCAGCGATGCGGTGGATGACGACGACGCGGACAACAGCGACAGCGACAGCGCCGCCGACGACGACAGCGGTGGTGGTGCGGCCAAGCCGCCGCCGCCGCCGGGGTCCGTAAACGATGTGCCACCGGGCTGGTTGTCCAGGCTGTGCGACAGTATGTGCCGTGTCAGTTTGCTCTGGTGCGGGAACGTTAGGTTGCAGTACAAGCACGTGTAAAACCGCGGAGGTGTCGCGGTCAAAGCGACGACAGCGTCTGTCGTCGGCGTCATCATCGTCGTCGTTGTCGTCGTTGGCGTCGTCGTCGTCGTCCTGCTGTCGCGCTCCTGTAACCCAAACGAAAAAAACAAAAAAAAAAAATAACTCTCATCAACTTCTTTTCGCTGGTAAATTTCGTTTAGTATAATTGTTTACGTAAGGGTGTATGGAAAAAACCGAGGAGAAAAAAGATAAAAAAAAAAAAAAACAAAAAAAAAAATTGAAATATTATTGATAATATACTGTCAAGTAAATAATACTCATGGAGGACAAAATAATAGTGTCAGCACAAGAAGTTGACGTTGTTTTTTTTTTTTTTGTTGTTTTTGTTTTGGCTACAGGTGCGGCCAGGCCATATATATACATATATATATATATATATATGTAAAATATAATATACAATATTTTACGATCGAAAACTCCAATCCTCGCGCACCGTTCGTTTAAGAAAACGCACAATATAATATTTAAGTGTAGTATAATATTATAAAATATACGTGTTTAAAACGCATGTTTTTTTTTTTAAATTTATGATCACACGGGTTAACGATTATAATTTTCGTACTGAACATTGGTAGAGCAGCGGTATTATGCAAATGCGAAATTTAAATGAAATAATCGTAGAGCAGGTCGTTTCTGGTTTGGTGAGTTTTTCGCAGTTACATTTGACAATCGCCACCACTGCGCGCCGTTGGCATTTTTTGGTCGATTCGTCGCAGCGTAGATATAATAATAATATATGTTACGGCACAACTGGGGTTGGTAATGGTCCTTGACCCCCGCAGTTTTTAATTTAGATCCCAATTTTCCCTGTTTGACCAACGGCTACGAGGAGAATTGTTTCTTATTACTTTTTGAGGTCCAATTAAGACCATTTTAACTAATATAAAACTCTTTTTATACCACTTTTTTACTGTAACTTGACGTCTTATTGTTTGTGCCATTATAACATTCGAAAAATAGTGAAGATAACATACAATTATGATTTGGGCTGTAGATCTCCCTTTGAAAGGTAATCTTAGTTGAGACTATGGTACCTAGGTACATATTGTATTTCATTTAAAACAATCGTTCTTGGGTGTATATCATTATAATCGACAATGTAACTAGTAGGTATTTAACCAATTTAAAATTAAAGTGACAAAAAAGAATCTAATTAAACGTTCAAATAGCTGATACTCGGCATAGAGTTTCGTCGACTTGCAATAACGAAATTGTTTTTCAACAATATGAAGTAGGATTAAGTGGTATTCAAATCATAAAATTCTAAGAATGATATTTTCATGAAATTCTTTTGTGTATTTTAAAAAGAGATTTTAATCCATGGGTTAGAGAAGTTCATATTCACACAATTTTAAGACACACCAACAAGTTTATAAAACTTAAATATAACAGATAATTCCGCGCTTGGTTGTTACAAATAATTTTCTTTAACTGTATAAAATATAGTGATTAATGAACAGTATCAAAGTTGAAGAAATCAAATAAAACGAAAAAATTTTCAAGTTGAGTGATTAGCTCTAATATCTTAAGAGTTACTATACTTAATTAGGCGACGAAGTAGAACATTAAAACTTATCAAAATGAGTGAAATCAAAAGTTAAATTTTAATGGCGTTCATGCGTCCATAAAACATAATTATCGCAATAGTTAAATGAATTAAAATAATTAATTACAATTATAATAGGTTTATCAACAATCATTTACGGTGGCTTAAAAAATTAAGTTTTGCACAACACTATACCTTTTATAGTCTATATTATTTTTAAATAGATTTTATAACATTATACGAAACGTGGAAGTTGCAGCGTGCAGCAATCCAGCTCTGAAATTGTCACTACTTTGTGATTAATATAGAAATTACACAGCTTACAACATTTATCGCTTAAAGTGCCTATGATAATTGTAGAATTTGGAGAGTAAATCAAGTGAACCTATATGTATTAAATAATAATTAAATGTTTTGAAGTCAACTTCTTGAGACTGCACTTGTTTGTATAAAAGCATTTAAATATTTCTTAGCCGCATATTATCAGCAAATGGCAACAAAAAAATTGTATAATTTGTTCTAGTTTTTATTCTCTAAATTACGTTCAGTCTCGTTAAAAAATGAATATTTTTATCATTTTCAACTCCAAGTTAGATTTTTGTTGTATATATAATTATGTTTAATAACAACAGGAATGGATGCAATTTAAATAAATAAATAAACAATTTTTTTATGCTTACCGGATCTGGTATACTCCGATATTCTGAAGAGCTTTCCCCTTGAATGCTTCTGTCGTCAGTCTTGTCACAGTCAGCTTCTTTCTTCAAGAACTATGCAATACAATATTGGTTTTAGTTAAACCAGAATTCGTTAAAAACGAGTTCATTAAAAAAGTTATGTATTTGAATTGATTATGTAGGTATATTATTATATTGAGTACCGATGCTATGCAATAGGGGATGTAAGATTCTCATTGAATAATAATATAAAATCTTTAGGAATCTGATAATTTAAAAAAAGCAGCCTGCAAACAATAAACGATTCCTAAGGATTCATTCCTTCAATACAGAAGAAAGATTTTCTACAAGAATCCAACTTGAAACGGTTATTTGATACAGTTATTAAGAAATCAATATAGTCCCATAGAAATTGTGAAAACTATAATTCTATATTATATCATAATTCTACGAAGTACAAGTATTTCATAGTATTGAAAATGATTTTGTTATACATTTTCCAGGTGTGTCACCAGTAGGTGGCTTCTCCAACCCAATGTCAAGTTAGAAACTCAAATGTACATAATTTGTGTTCATTATAGATACTAAATTTTTATAGACATATAAAATTCAAATTAAAAAAACTGTGTATTTTAATTAATATTTTATGTGCTTTAAATTGTTTAAATAATTGTCTCGCTGGAAATATATTGCACACTAAATTATTTACGTCACACCTATGGTTTAATTTAATATAGTCATTATTATCTTTTTGAAGTGATTTTGAACAATCATTTAAAAAAAATCTTAACAATTTACATTATAAGTGATATTTCTCGTTTGAAAAAATTCATTGCTATCCTTATCACCACAGTGCATTCATAAAAAAATGTAAGAATTTTAAAGTACGGTTTTTAAATGTATTTCAAAATTTCAAAAATCAGAATTTGAATAATTTTATGGCTTGCAAGTGAAATGTCATCAGTTAATAGCAATAGATACAAATTACAATATTATGGAACGAATTTAATTTAGTTCTGAGTACTTATGGAGTATTATTAGTTTTGTAAAAACTAGATTTTTTACTCACAATTTGTGTTTGGTTATGTAAAGTTAGGTAAACTTTTTTAGTATATACCTATAATTTAAACAATTTAAGCATATAGGTAGTTTATTTTTACTATGTTTTAGTAAGAGACAAACAAAACTTGAAATTTTAGATTCTGGGTTTAACGATAAATGTATTGATTTTACAACGATAATTTTCAACAATCAACTAAAATGTGATTTTTACTAGGTTTTTTAAAAACTATTGTCGATACAAAATATTTTGCTTGGTCAAAAAACTTGAAACTTTATGCGAGGTTAGTCATAAGTTGTTATTATTGGAAATTAAAAGAAAGTTAAGTTAAGTATAAATCTACAATACTTTTTTATGAGTGTATTAAGTTAGAATTTTTATAAATTCGTCGAGATTGTGAACAATTACAAATTATTTTGTAGTGAGAAATTCATACAATTTTTTTATTTATATCTAAAATATAAAAATTGAATATACGATTTCTCATAAAGTGTTCCTACCATTACCAAAAAAAAGTTTACCAGAAAGTCAAATTAATTTTTTATGAGTGTTAGAAGTTCAAATGTTTTTAACATTGAATACCGTGAATAATTAGGTATTTCTTATAGAATTTAAAGTTCAAATTTTCTACAAAACTCATAGAAATCTCGAAAACGTACTAATTATAATCGTATTGAAAAATTGAAAAAATGTTCGATTATTACAGCTAAAGATTGGGAATTTAAAACAAGGTTTCTCGTAAGTAATTTATACCTTAACCAAAAGGTATACTGTATTCATCGTAAAATAAATTTTTTGATTAGGAATTATATCATTAAATATAGCTAACAAACCTTCTTTACTTAGAACCGGATTATATCATTGAATTCCTACCCAACACATCAATTTTAGTGACCCACTCAACCCTTACTGTACAACAGTGTGGTACTCACTTATCCAACTTTTTATAATATTAAGCTTTTAGAATACAAATTAAGACTGGGTATTTTAATAAACTACTAAATTACTCACTGCAATTGCTTATGCGTATTCACAATTAAAAAAATTAATTTATTGAAAAATGTGTACGAGTATTACAATTCAAATTTATTTTACCAAGATATTAATATCCAAACTATCGTCAGATATATTATGTTTTAATAAAAAAATAATACATTCATTTTCCAAAATGCTATCAACAAAATAAATGTCATATTTTCATTTTTATTTTGGATTAGGTTTTACTGTACAAATAATAATAATAATAATAATAATAATAGTGACAACTAAAAGTTAAATAATATAGGGTATTGTGTGGCAAGGACGAGAAGTGGACTATTTCAGTCGATTTCACCCGCTCTAAGGAAAAAGGTCGTTTCCCAACGCTTCAACTGTCATCGAAAACTTAACATTTGCTGTACAGGAAGGACAAAAATATGTTTGGTACTCAATAAACAACAATTAATTAATTTTCATACTATTTATTTAATTTTACTATTTTAAAATTGACCGAAATTGATGTTTAGTAACCCGTTTTCGTCAAACTTTGTAATAGTAATAATCACGTAGGTACTTTTTATGATTATTTTTCTATGGTTTCAAAAATTCCTTATTAGCTTATACAAATACATACATAACTCAACATATATGATTATGTAAGCATAATCTATATTTAGTTACACGTTAATAACATTAAATACTAATTCTCCGATTTAAAATTTAAAAAACCTGAAATTATATGTCAATTTATATCAAGTATAAAGGTATTATGTTTTGTATTTTTTTCTGACAATTATATTGAATGGGTCAAAACTTTGATTTAACTCTTATTCAGTCAATTTTGAATTTCAATTATAAATAATACGATAAAATTAATATTTAAAAATAAAATAGTAATACAAATTTAGCAATTTTATTTTAATTAATGTGTGTAGCTCTAAAAATTTGAGTTTTTCTTAAAACTATTATTATAAAACCCAACCCAATTCTTTATTAAAATTTTTATATAAATTAAATTAACAGTCATTTTACAAAATATTTAATGTTACCTTTAATTTAAGTCATACTGTAATAATTAAATTTTATGAGCAGAATATTTAAATTGATTTTCAATAAATTATAATTTGAAGGATATTTGTGTATATATGCATAAACAAAAACAGGTGTATACTAGGTTTAAGGCAGTAGGTTTATGTATATGTGTCTATGTACTACGTAATGTTTAAAAAATTGAATACATTATTGTAATAATTACAGTAAAAGAATACATATAAAAAATATTTAAATATTCAATGTTTAGTAGTAATTTAGGTATTTATTCAGGTTATTACCTATGCTAGTTTAAGTACATAATTAAATAAATAGGCTATAGATACGTCTACAATATTTTTTCCATCTTGAGTAAGCTTTTAACGGTGTTTTAGAGGTAATGTATCATTGTGTTATATTTTTTTAACTGAGTCACATTTTAAAAACGATTAAAACAATAGAGCTACTTTTATATATTTTTCTGGTTAATACTCAAAATAATAGACTTTTGAAATACAAAGTACATTTTTTTTCTGTTTGAATAAACTTACTTTATATATATAAATACTCAGTTATACTCATAAAATAATATTCATTGAAGAAGTACCTAATACTTTTTGATAAGAATAAAAGTTGCTTTTTTTCCATTTAAAACTTGTAAATAAATAAGCTATTAATTATTAATTGTTACAGTCAATAAAACAAACCACTAGGAATCTTATTAATAAATTAGTTAAAAACTCAAACTTTTAGTATGTATGTACATTGTACACCAACAATTAATATAAATATTATACAAAATTAAAGTCTAAAACGAATATTAAAAATCATCAGTTAAAGTTTTTAATTAAAGTATACATATATAACTGTCGAATACTAAAATATAATGTAAATACAGCGAATCTAAAAGTATTGTTATTTAAATGCTAAATACCATACAATTTATATAGAATAGTAAATATTTTATTTCAAAAGATAAAATATTGACAAATAAGTAAATTTTCATGAGAATATCAACATTGAATGCCAAAAATTAAATTAAAAAGAAGTTACCCCAGATAATTTCATATATTACGTGATACGAATGCTCTTAATACACTAACACATGTTTCAAGGTTGCAGTGAACCTTTGTTCGGAGCTTACATAATACATTGTACAGTACGAAAATTCATGTTAAGACGAGAAAAGACAAGGCTGAAATAGTCAAAAACGTGGAATTAGAGGACAATTATTATTATAAAAATTGCGTGACGACTCCATGTATGATATATACATTTCATATTTTATTTCTCTGTTTTATATTTTATTATTATGTATGAATTAGTTTAATTTGTATCTGATGACGTGTGCACCACTACAAGCTCTGCTTAAAGGTGTAGGTAATTTTTGTTATTTTATTTAATACTTTACAGGTTAAATTGTGTTAATATAATGATATAATTATTTTCAAACAAACAATAATAAAATATATCAGATATATTGTGATTGTACAAATTTGAAAAAAGCTAAATTATATCTATAAGTGTTATTATTAATTAATTTATGTGGACAAAATGAAACGCATGTGTTGTATAAATGATAATAAAATAGTAATATATTATGCAACGAATTATTGGCAATATTATAAGTAATAAATTAATTTTTATGGTTTGGCGGAACGTTTATTAAAGTTAATACCTAATTAGAAAGTTTAAATCTTAAAACAATGTGAGTTACCGAAGTACAGATGTATATATCTTAAAAGATAGTATATAAACTAACTTAAAAACTTATAAAGTTAAAGATGTTAACACGTATTGTAAGTGTAATGCATTAAAGCCGTTGGTATATATTATATTTCCACTGGAAGTAGTACGTACAGATTAAATGTTATATAAATATTCTACACTAAAGGTCGAAAAAATATCATGTTATATTGTTATGACTTATGAGTCCTAGCTGTAACATATTTTTTTAACATTGCATTTCGAAGTTATATTGAACTCGTATTGGCATTGTTGCATTAGAAGTAAGTTTTCAGGGGGC